GTATTGGAATTTTTTTTGAACTTTTGGAAATTATATGTTGTTGGGAATACTTCCACAGGCAATGAATTCCAGAGCCTAGCATAGTATTATGTATTATGTTCTCAATTCCCATTTCCTTCGATTTATTTTGTAGGTTCGCCAATAGTTTAATCAAATTTTCTGAATTATGGGATCTTGTCGAAGAGAGAAATAATGAGTTCGTGGAAAAAGTATAGCATGTAACGCGTTTTTATACTCTTCTAGACTTTATCAAACGCTCGCTCCGCCCTGCTTCGCTCGTGCTTGAAATACTCGTTACTGAAAGGACGTTTATAACACTTAGATAATAGACTCTAAATTTTAGATAGAATAAAACGCGTCACTATTACTCCTATGAAACTAATATAATTCTTCACAAATAAAAGAATCTTTAGCTGTGAAGACAATATTTGGATATATTTGCTTTGTATACAAATTATTTAATGGATTCATCGATTCGCCTTACAGTATGAAATTGGTCAGTTCAAATTGTACAGAGCATAATATACGTAACCAAGTTTATGTGTCGTTGGTGGGAGCTCAACTAATTTTCTTCAGAACTCACCACTTCATAGATGTTGTAAATCATAGTATTTATGACTAAAAATGTAAACCTAGAATGTTTATATACCTATATTTTATGTATTAATTATGGCATTCAATGCACACACTGTATTCTTGGTATGGTAGTCATCTCTTATACTTGGATTAGTTCAGAGAAATTCGTTGTATTTTGTTATTTTGAGCAACTCTTTCGTTTGGGCAGCTTTGCTTGCCTGTTGAGTTTGCCTTTTCATGTTAAATAACAAATAAATAAATAAAATATTGTTCATTTTTTTACCGTTTACCGGTACAATAGGTAGATTCGTCATTTTTATGTAGGTACAGCTGTTCATACATCGATTGACTTATTAGTTGGATATACCGACCAAACAAATCATAGATGATGATGTTTGCTCATTGATGTTCAAATTATAATTCATTGACAAACGTCTGACCATAGATCTGTGAGTATGTCAATCCAAATGCGGACAGATATTTGTTTCATAATAACATTAAATAATGAATTGTTCAGTGTTAAGTACATATACTTTCTCTTTGAGTTTTCATTCACAATGTAAAATTCACGAGGAATTTAAACAAAGATATTACAATTAATTAATCTATACAACAATGGTTTCATTGAGTAATGTTTTTGATAACCACTGGAAAATTGCTCACTTGTATTAGAGTTGATTATATGTAAATGTCTCATTTGTGTGTTCCCAAGTCTTTCGATTTTACTTCCTCACATTATCTTTCATGTTAAGTGTGTTTGCATCTAAAATCTAGCATCTAAGTACTTACTACACTCATCGACGGCCATATTTTTTTTATCGGTTGGTGCGCACGAAAGGGGATCCCTATAATGTTCGAAGAACATCGTGCGTACCTAGGGAGGATAGGGAGAGGAGGTAGGTGTTGTTTTTTTTTAATTTTTGGAGCTTCAAGTTCTTGGAAATACTTCCTCAGTCAATGAATTCCAGAACTTTCCCGTTTTATAGAAAAAACAGTATTGGTATAGTGCTGTTCGACAAATTTCGAGGCTGACAATGAAAGGATGTTCTGACTGCGCTTGTCGAGTTCGTTTGGTTGGTATTGCTAGTCGTGGAATGATAGCAGAGATTTCTGAAGAACATTTTTCGTGGAAGTATCTATAAAAAAGGGGAAGGTCGCCAAAATTTTTACGGTCATGAAGTTCGTCAATATGAAGAATACTGTCTATAGATTTTCCTAAACTTATGAGATTTTCTCCTCGACCCTATTCAAATAAAAATATCAGTATTATCTCAATATACCAACAAATTTTCAATTACGAAATTTATCACCTCAGGAACGTTCAACGATTCAATAAATTGAAATCGAACAAAATCAAAATACACCAGAGCAAAACCAACATTCATTCCAATATCATACATTCTCGGCTCATCTGAAAGAATAAATCGTGTTGGTGATAAGTTTCATGTAAAAACTGATGTGTTCGTGACTGAAAATACAATAGGATCAATTCTTACTCAAACAAAAGAACAAGACCCTGAGAAATAGGAGCATCTTCAAAAATAATATACAGGGTGGCCCATCGAAAACTTTTCGATAAAATCCGAATTTTTCTCTCAGGTCTCTGGTAAGGGAATTTTGAGAGCTGTAAAATTTCGGGGCAAATCATCTACCTGTACTAAGAGGTATATTGGAAAAATATTGAAGTAGTGCACCTATGAGACCCTCGCTTCAATCGACCCCTATCTCCCCCATATGAAGGGTCAAAAAAACCACACGAATGTATGTTCACGCATGAGTGACATCTTCGTGACTTTACAATTTTCAACGTATTTTGACGTATGCGTGACGCATCCGTGACGTTTTCTCGACGTTATTTCTTATTTATTACGCTCCTCAGCGTTTTGACACCTGCTTGACGCGAGGGTCTCATAGGTTCACTACTTTCTGATATTTTTATTGATATGGCAGAGGTGAGGAAATCCTAAAAATCTAGAGAAATCTGAAGAATGTTTTATTCCGATCTTGGAGATTTCATGATGAAATAGTATGTTTTATATAACATATCAGATGGGTAACGTAAGTCGTATGACAGATAACGCGATAGCTGATGATTTCGTTCAAAACAAGAAACAGCGTATTTGAGTTGAATAGCCAAAAAAAAATATACAGAGGAACTCGCAGGCAGACCCCACACTTAAGGTGAGCTTAGTAAACATATAAGACAGTTAAAGTATGACGTATGACAGATAATGTTCGACAGCTCATGATTTCATTCAATTACAAGATACAGGGTGTTTGGGTTGAAAAGCATCAAAAATATATACGGAAAGAATCACTGCAAAAACTGACCACTTTAGGTGGACCCAGCAAACATATTGGACAGGTTTCGTATGACAAATGATGGCAATCTGATGATTTCATTCAATAACGAGATTCAAAGCGTTTGAGTTGAAGAAATATACAGGGGGACTCGCGCGTTCACCTCCCTACTTTAGGTGGGCACAGCAAACATATCAAGCAGGTGACGTTCGATAAGTGAATCAAAATTTGAGATAGGGACATGTGAGCTGTTTTGGCCGATAATGAATAGTTTCGACACAAACAAATCCTAAAGTTGAATAATCTCGAATATGAACACTCTATATCTCTGTAATCATCTCCGATAGACCCAGAGTATGATGTATCCATGAAATCAGCTATTCAGCGAGGATCTGAAAATGCACTAAAATACAGGGTTTTCTATTTGAAATAACAAAGTTGTTGCTACTTTTTGATAGAAGCGGCAACACTGCATTGCTAAAAAAATATCTTAAATGAAGGGGGAGTATTCTATAATATGAGCATGCATATTTCCATGAATTTTTCCCTACTGATTCTCGATATAGAGATAGTGTAAGCTCGTCGTAACATACCCTGTATAGTGTATAGGTATTAATATTGTATAATATTGTTTCACAAATGCCGGTACAACAACATCGTATACATATCGTTTTCAACAATCATGAGCAATATTGAAATTTGAACATTCTTCCCATGTTCGACGGCACATTGGTTGAATATTGTTTCAACAATATTTGAAACATCATATTTACCTAACGTGATTGATATCGTTTCAACTATATCATGCGGAAGATATCGAATGCATATTGTTTCAAATATGAATATCTAAATAAGTCATTCAATATTTTGCTTTATATCGGTCATAAAAGAAAAAACAATATTGTATTTTCAGGTTCAATCGCATACCGGTAACATATTGTTTTGAAAATACATATCGATATCGGCATTTTAATATTCATTTGATATCACTCTCAAACCTATGTAGACAGATGGCGCTATAAAAGACGAGAGAATATAAATATTGGCTCGGGACGATTGAAAACCATATACTTACCTGGCATAGGGGTTAATCATGATCAAGAAGGCAGGGCTTCCCCAGGACGAGGCCAATATCGCCGAATGTTCACATTTTATGTCTTGTCAATATTGGTATGAAAAAATTCTACCAATATTTTCAAGAGACGAGAACAAAATAATTACCAATGGTCCACCAATATTTCCAACGAATATTGCACCAATATTGTCGAATGTTCACTTTTCATTTCTTGCCAATATTGATTCCACATTTTATGACCAATATAACTGTACGAATATTCAACCAATATTGGTGTGAAAATATTTCACCAACGTTTCCAAGACGACATTGCAACATGCAACAACAATTTTCCACCCACATTTGAAACTAATAATATACCAATATCGCCGAAGGTTAACTTTTTACCGATATTCTCGTTATATTGCACCGATATTGGTCCAATATATATGTGCTACTTGGGATCCATTATGTCAACAGGATAAAAATGAATAGTTGACCTGCACATGCTGCGGTATAGTATTATCAAGACCAAACCAGAAACCTGTTGGAATTGTGATCTGACTGAACCTCGGATTGAACCTTGGTGAACGACGTGAAAGGTCCTCGGTGTCCTGGAAATATATCTCTGATCAACACGTTGAAAGTTCATGTCAATAATGGAATTATATCCTGACCAAGGAAAATATCCTGAACCGAATTTATTAAAGCAATTCTATAAACTCATAATATGAATTAGTGAAATTAGAATCACCCGACTTTTTCCTCAGGGATATGCCATGTTCCATTCCTCTTCATGACTTGTATACAGACTACAGAGTGTTTATAATTTTCATGAAAATTCCTCGTGAACTTATTCCTAAATTAGTTCACAACTGATCCGTATATCCTATCGATTGCCAAGAGTACCTTTTTTCTCACGTCGTAGAACATGTTGGAATGTCATAACGTCATGTCCAAGATTCTGAATAAATTCACACACAAAAGTTTGAGAAAAAAAAATTGTTTTCATACATGCATCCATTTGAAAGTTCGAATTCAAATATCAAATATCTGTATTTTGTTACAGAAATACCATGACGTAGAAATAGACGTAGTTAGAAAAGATGGACTGATACTCATCAGAGAAATGGCAGCCGAGGTGAAAAACATGATGGACTTCAAAATGAGCGCAGTGATGGTAAGTTATCTTATTTTCTGATGAAACAATAATTTCATTTGATATGGATCCTGTAAGAAACTGTCTCGTTCAAAAGGACTTTTGGACAAAGCCCTTGACACGGTTTGTCAAGGTTTTTGGAAAAAGGTAATTACCCAATCTGGTGCAAAACCACAAACTGTTTTTTCAGAAAGTTACAGGGAGGAAAGAAACTTATGGTGGATCACCCTATACAAATTGTGTGTTTTTTTTCAAAATTATCAGTTTTTGGGAGAATCCAGGCAGAAATTGTCGCAATACATCTTTGCGCAAAAGGGTTGATAAGAAATGAGTTTCTAGGCAATTCACTCTGACAATCTACACAGGGTGTCCGGGAACTGCATCGATCAATATATAGAAAACCATAGGTGTGCCAGATTTGAAAAATGAAAAATAACGCATGATTCTGAACATGTTTCATGTATAATGTCCTATACCCAAGTCTAACCGTTTTCGGAATATTTCAAATTTCAAGTTGAAAATTGCGTTTGCAGACCGAGAAATATTTTTTTTTTATTTCTGGACATGATCATTTATTTTCGATTGTGTATCGCCTTATTCGTAGGAGAGGACCCAGTTCAGTAGAATTTCGATATCAATTCGATTACAGTTATACAGGGCGTTCAACAGAAAATTGTATAGATCCGGTTGAAAAAATTATTGTAAGTCAATTTTTGTCAAATGGACGCCCCCCAATTTAATATTTTTATTCGATTCGGCATCGAAAATGAATCTAATTTTGAATGAGGTTATCTATGCCTACACTCAACAGTTTTCGAAATATTGGCAAATTAACATGTCTCAGTTCCAGAAAATCTCGTATTCTTGAGTTTACTTATTCTTAGTCTCAGTTAAAAATAATAAATAGATTTGAGTAATCTTCATTCGAATAATCCAAACGAGCCGGTATGATTGATTACAATGACATTTTCATGGCAGTTGGTTGTTTCCAGCGCAACTGCGGGCGCCATGGCCAACTAAGAATAAGGAAACTCAAGAATACGAGATTTTCTGGAACTGAGACATGTTAATTCGCCAATATTTCGAAAACTGTTGAGTAGGCATAGATTACCTTTTTCAAAGTGAGCTTCATTTTCGATGCCGAATCGAATGAGAATATAAAATTGGAGGGGTTTCATTTGAAAAAATGGACTTACAATATTTTTTTCAACCGGATCTATATTATTTTCTGGTGAACGCCCTGTATAACTGTAATCGAATTGATATCGAAATTCTACTGATTTGGGTCGTCTCCTACGAATAAATCGATACACAATCGAAAATGAATGATCATGTCCAGAAATAAAAAAAAATATTTTTCTGTCTGCAAACGCAATGTTCAACTTAAAATTTGAAATACTTCGAAAACGGTTAGACTTGGGTATAGGACATTATACATGAAACATGTTCAGAATCATGCGTATACGCATAAAATCTAGAACCTTGATAATATACAGGGTGTCCCATTTAAAATAACGAAGTTGGGGTCGACTTCCGGTACAATCGGAAGTACCACGATCTTCAAAATATTCTAGCTGGATAGCACTTATCAACAACAATGAACTCCCAAATATTCAAATTCGGCCCACCTAAGGTTTTCCATATATTGATCGATGCAGTTCTCGGAGGGACACCCTGTATAGGAATGCTTAGACATCCTGAGAGAGTTGAGCAGTCAGAATAGACTGACTTAAGTATGGGTACTTGCACATACATGATATGAGGATACGGAAAAGAAGACGCTGACTAATGAGGACGAAATCAAGAAAAGAACATGAAAACCAAGCAAGCAACTTAGGAAACAAGCATCAAGTCATGAATCAAAACACAATATCATAGAGAAAATGAAGCTAGATAAAGAACTTCAAATGATTCCGAATAGATCTGGAAAGTTATACTCCATACACAACAATATAAACCATAATCTGATCTGATGATAAGTTTAAAATATTTTTGTGATGACAGGTTGTAATTAAACTATGTGAAAAACCTGCTAATCCAAGTCTATACAGTTTGAAGCGCAAGCGCTAGTGATCTAGGTATTTCGCTGTGAAAAACAAAATAAAAATTTGTAAAGAGTCTCGAGAAAACCTTTTGCTGATGACTTTTTTCAGCTCGTACTGCTACCGTTCTGCCTATTGGCACTATTTGTCAGTAATCAAAAAGTACTCATTCATTGCTGTTTTCATCATAATACGTGTATGTCACACTGTTATTGTACAACAACATAATATTTAGTATACAGGGTGTCCGGAAATTATGCGCAAAAGATCAAGGAGGTGATTCTACATAATAAAATAAGAAATTTATTTCATATGTACATGGGTACCGAAATGCAGAGGTTTCAACATACAGTGTGTTGAACTTTTAAAAATATCGGTTTTTTATGAATATCTCAAATGTCCTTCCACCGATTTACTTGAAATTTGGCAATTATATTCTTTGTCATGAGGGGCTGATATAACCATAATTCAATTGGATTATAAAATCCAGTGGCGTCCTGGAGGCAACCTACCGAATAAAATTTGCGCCACTGATTTTTTTGAATTCTGTATCTTCATATCCTATTGACCAACTAAAAATACAACATTTTGGTTTCCTGAATTGTTTCGATATTTTGCTTCATTTCCATGGAATTAATAAATACCAATTTATTGCATTAATTTGTGCCAAGAAATTCCTTCAAAAACTAGGGTGAAAATAAATGCGTGATCCTTGTCCATAGACATAGAATAAGAATGAAGATTTATTTTCTTCAATTATTCCATGATACATGTTTGACACACTCTACACTCTGTATACTGAGAACTATGTATTCTCGGTCCAGGAAGGCGTAGTTTTCAATAATACAAAGTGTGTCAAACATGTATTATAAAATATTTGAAGGAAATGAATCATCATTCTTATTCTATGTTTATGGACATGGATCGCACATTTATTTCTACCCCTGTTTATGGAGGAATGTTTTGCACAAATGTATACAATAAATTGGTATTTATTTTTTTCCACGGAAACGAAGCAAAATATCAAAACAATTCAGGAGACTAAAATGTTGTATTTTTAGTTGGTCAATAGGAAATGAAGATATAGAATTCGACAAAATCAGTGGCGCTCATTTCATTGACAATAATATTCAGCAGGGTGCCGCCGGGACGCCACTGGATTTCACGATCCTAATTCAATTATGGCTATATCAGCTCCTCATGATAAATAATATCATCGCCAAATTTCAAGAGGATCGGTGGACGATAGAATCCCGAACTCAAAATATGAAGATTTAACCCAAATCACCTAGATAAAATATGTCTCCTGTCTGAGTAACAGGGTGTTCTATTCGAAAATTTTGAAAGTTTTTTTGCCCAGTTCTTCAAAACTATTTGACGTATCACTACTTTCATATTTGGAGGGAAGTGTAGGTATTATACACCCAACTGAATTATGTGAAATGAACTTTTCTAGCTATTACCAGAGGCGTACGACAGGGGCAATTAACTGGTTGATATCTCCCAAATTCTACGCCACTGGCGGAATTGCAATTCTACCACAAATTTTCGATTCTCCAATAATTTTGACCTAGATATTTTACGTTTTCTCCATGGCGATAAAGTCATTATTTTCCGAGATATTTCAAGTTAAACATAAAGAAGAAAAAAAAAACTAGGGGCTCAAAGTCGGTCGACCACACTTCATATAATAGTAGTAACTAACATTTTACATATGTAACCGGTTTCGGCGCTACGGCCATCATCAGACAAATAATAAGTACCTAAAAGTTTAAAAAAACGAAGACAATCAAATGTGAATGAAGACATATGTAAAATGTTAGTTACTACTATTATATGAAGTGTGGTCGACCGACTTTGAGCCCCTAGTTTTTTTTTTCTTCTTGAAAATACTGTGGACCACTTTGAGAAAATGGATGATTTTCATGATTTAAACATAAAGCTGCACAATCATTTTGATTTCAATGTGCATTAATTTTGTCAATATTTTGGATCAATGGATTGTATTCATCAACGAAATGAAACTTCAATCCATATTAACAATAAAAACATAATTACATAACAGACAGGAGCTGTTACAGGGTGTTTGATTATGAAATATATTAAAAAATTTAAAACGCCTTGTAACAGCTCCCATCTGTTATGTTTTTATGTTAATATGGATTGAAGTTTCATTTGATTGATGAATGCAGTCCATTGATCCAAAGTATCGACATTATTGATACACATTAAAATCAAAATAATTGTGCTGCTTCATGTTCAACTTGATGCTATGAAGAAAGAGTACGATATTTACGAAGACGGTATTGAAGAATCGAAAAATTCTGATAAAATTGCAATTCCGTCAGTGGTGTAGAATTTGGGAAGAATCAACCAGTGACTTGCCCCTGTCGTACGCCTCTGGTAATATCTAGAAAAGTTCATTTCACATAATTCAGTTGGATGTATAATACCTACACTTCCCTCAAAATATGAAAGTGATACGTCAAATGGTTCTGAAGAACTGGGCAAAAAACATTTCAAAATTTTTTAATAAAACACCCTGTAACTCAGACAGAAGACATATTCTATCTAGGTGATTTGGATTAAATCTTCATATTCTGAGTTCGGGATTCTATGATCGAAATATTTCCAATTAGTAATGAAACACCCTGTATATGATATAAATTTCATGATGTCCCTTGCAGAATCACTCTCTTGATTTTTTGCGCATAATTTCCGGACACCCTGTAGATTTATGTGAATCACGATTACCATACTTAGACCATTGGGGAATCAATGAGTATTTTCCAGTTTTCTTAGATCACTACAACAGTACTTGTGCCACGATATTATTTCTCCAATGACGTAATCAGTATATTATCACTATGAACTATCAAGCTATCAGATCTATTCCATTGGCACCATTGTTCAGACACTAGACAAGTAATGTGTTTTTCATAGTTCTGTCATTTTGTTTATTCTGAATTTTCGCGTATGTGTCGTTATCGTAACATATGTTAAGTGTACAAGTGAATATTAATTCATATCAATTCAAAATATCAAATTGAGCAGAATGAACTGGAATCCTCCTTCAAGGATATCCAGACAATCCAATTTTTGTTTTCACAGGATGAAGTTTTTGATAAAAACTAAACCATCGGAATTTCTTAAAAACGGTCATGGATTTTCCCAATTCTGAGTCTATTATGGTTTAGTAGAAGAATATTCCATGAATCGAATCGAAGGAGCTGTTGAAAAGTTATGACCAAAAGATGTTTTTGCGAAATCTCAAAAGTCACCCTATAAATATTGATAGAGAAGAAAAGACGACAATTTCTGATAGTCATTAGGTATTCCCTTCAAGGTCTTCTATTCATGATAGGAGTATGAACAGTTCCTCATGGCTCACCCTGTATATTCGATCCAAATGTCAAAATTCCAACATGAAAAACAGCTGAATGATGCCTTGGCCAATGATTCCGTTGTCACCAGGTATATTTGAACAAAATATTTTTTTTCCAGAGGATTATGGACTCTGCTGAACAAGCTGCACTGACACCTCGAGCAGACAACGGCCAGCCCTTTCGATATTACAACGCCAAGAGACTGAATGCCTTCGGGCCCGATGGTAGGCCTGCCGAGGGCACTAGAGATCTGATCCTCACACCGAACCCGCATTTCGATCACTTACCTGTTAATACCACCCTCAGTACAATACTGATGCCAAACAACGTCAATGAAGAAGGTATGTTCCTCGATATATTGAGCACTGTGACCTTCACCACTTCACTTTTTTTACACTAACAAAACCGATTTTTCAAATGTTCGTGTAACATCGTGCGTACCTAGGATGAAAGGGGGGAGGAGGTAGGAGTTGGAAATATTTTTGAACTTTTGTAGGTTATTAGTTCTTGGGAATGCTAACTATATTGAATTCCTGACGCCTCAAGTGTGAGAATAGTAATACAGTTATGAACGTGGGTTCAATTCCCAGCACGAACAAGGAACTTCTTTCAATATTTTATTTACGAATTGGATATTGTAAAGTTTAGGGCCTTTGATGGGGATAGTCCTACACGATTCGCTGTTGCGTTCCAATTAACAGGGCTGCTCCTAATGTGGCGCATGGAGTTAGTAACAAAACCTACACAGAACACGCAGAAAGAGATGATGATGTGGTTGTGAGCATCAGAGAAGAATTAGGACGGTGTATGTAGGTGGGTGTGGAAAAGTACCAGCTGAGCGTGAGAGCGGGCCAATGCTGCTTAGTGGACCTCGGTCTCTAACGGAGGTTAACAAGAATAGCTAGCAGGCCTGCCACTGCAGCATATGGTAGTGAGTACATTACTAGCCTACAAAACACAGCTGAAAAACTCTGAAAGATACCTGATGGGCTGTGCCTGAAAAGGATGTTAGCCAGCTCTCAAGCGAACCACATCACTCATTGAAAATACCTTGGGGCTTGCAAAAAGGTCCCATTAGGGACTAGTTGCTGACGTGCAAACGTCCCCCACCAGTACCAGTACCGGTATGAACGAGTATAATGGTCCTATTCCATATAACGCTCTCTATGGTCAGTAATTTAGGGTTGGTTTTATTCTTTCCTCAAGATACTAGAAAAGTTAGCTGAAAACACTTCTCGAGGCGTTGAAAAATCGGTTCGTTTAGTAGTATAATAAAGCAGTGTGATCTTCCTTAGTGTTGATAATTGGTAGTTGTTTCATTACCTTAGGAGAATCAATCACGAACAAGTATTCTGGAAAGTAGCATATATAAGCAGTTATAGTGCGCATGTATTATAATTTTTCTTCATTCATATTATGTCCCTTATCCGCACCCATATGTCTATTTTCCTCACTCATACAAAACGGGTATCTCATCCGCTTTGCACTGAAATGCGAACGACAGGAATCCAAATCTGATCTATTCGAAATTGGCTCTCCATGTCTCAGATGAATTATAGGAAAATAAAAACGATAGACAAAATCTGGAGAGAGATTCTTGAACGGCATTGAGTGAGGTATAATAATAATTGTTTTTCATTGATAAAAGTTAGCTGAAAACACTCCCCGAAGCATTGAAAAATCTGTTTGTTCACTAGTATAATAGTGTAGTACGATCTTCCTCAGTGTTGATAATTGGTAGTTGTTTTATTACCCTTGAAGAATGAATCACGAACAAGTATTCTGGAAAGTAGCATATATACGCAGTTATGGTGCGCATATATTATTATTCTTCTACATTCATATTATGTCCCTTATCCGCACCCATATGTCTCTTATCCTTACTCATAGTAAACGGTTATCTCATACGCTTTTCACTAAAACGCGATCGACAGGCATCCAAAACCGACCCATTCGAAATTGGCTCTTCATGTCTCAGATGAATTATAGGAGAATAAAAAACGATAGATAAAATCTGGAGAGAGATTCTTGAATGGCATTGAGTGAGTTATAATAAAAATTGTTTTTCATTGATAATTTTCTCAATGGTACATCAAAACACTCTTGGTACAAAAGAAGAAAACCAACTTATCAAAGGGCAGGATCCATTTCAGTCCCAAGTTTGAGACAGAGAATGAACTTTCTTTTCCATCCATCCAAAAACATATCGAAATTGACACTGACATTTACATTGACTCATTGAGATATTTGAAAAGAACCAATCTTCTTTTGAGTGAATACATGAAGAAAAAACATTCTTTATTCCGTTGGAAAATTATTAATATTCCACTCTTGTTTTCGAGAACCTATATCAGAATCGCTCATCATCACGTTCTCATCTCCAGTATTACAGCCATATTTTTTGTTCACAAAAATTATCGGACTTTCTCTGCCAATACAGATTCTGGTAACCAACCAACATCATTTTCCAGCGATAATATGTCTGACATTCATAACGTCAATAATTATAATTCAATTTTGTCGGTATGGATTCAATCATGAAAAAGTCATATATACGAATACAACTCGTAGTACTATTCCTCCTGGAAATATTCGTCGTTTGAAATACTTCAGCTTACTGCTTATATTTTGATCATGAGATTGTTCTGAAAACGTTCGCCTATTCGGCTTATTGATAGTTTTGATATACAATGTCATTTGGGAATCTACTAGGCAACAAGCTGTCGTAACAATCGCCGAATATTATCAGCAAAGTATTACATTTGAAAAAATTTATGAGAAAAAAGTATTGGAAATTTGCAATCCTCTCGATTTAAACTACAAGGTACCTTTTGGGAACAAACAGTAATGTAGTAATGTTTTATGAAAAAAATGAGAATTTTGACAAATTTTATTGAAGGGGTTCAAAAGAATGAAGAATGTCGATGATCAGAGATGATTAAAATGATGAAATGATGGAAAAAACGAGACAAAATCAGGGAAATAATGGAGAAAAGAAAGGATGATGGAATGAGACAATAAAATCGAGAAGTTTCCGTTTTCGTTTCTACTGGAGGAGTTATTATTTTTCAACTAGTGAAGATTATTTCATTTCAAATATTCAAAAATATAGGTAAGTTTCTAAGAAAACGAATTCGATGCCGTCATTACTACAGTTTCTGAATATACAAAATATGTAAATTTAGTCTGAAATGGACTCCTTTCGAATTTCCTTTATCGTTTTTTGTTTTCTTATGATAGAGCTGATACATCGCGTCTCGCAAACCCTTAACACTTCCCGTTGGAAAATTCTGACGAACTATGAAATACCTTATTTTAAGAATGGAGGTTTCTATGAACATTGGTTGTTTTCTTTTACAGATATATGGTATTCAAGCTGAAATGTGTTTTAGCTTTCTCAAGGGTTCCTTGTTCATAGCTGCCCCACTAATTCCAAATCCTCAATGATCAGAACTCAGACAGCACCAGATATTCCATGAATCTCCCTATCATATTCCTTTTTGAATATTGGGATATTATAGGAATAATCTGGACCATTGTAGAATGTCTGTGTAAGATTCTCCGAATATGCAAATGGGAATTCCTCAGATATTCATAGAATATGTGCAGAGCAATATTCTATTCATCTCTAGAATACATTATAGGGATTCTTTGAATCGTCCTGGAATATTCCAATGAACATGTTCTAACCCGATATGGGCTCGAACCCGTGATTTCCAGATTGTCAGAGCTACAACGCCTTAACCACTAGACCAGCATTCGAATTGAATAATGTTGTACATAACAATTTCTTGAAAAAGCGTTGTTCAGAATCGGATCATGAACACTTTTCGTTTCAGAATCTCCTTACATATATTTGTTTGAGACTCATATTTCTGAAATAATTATTGGTGTTCATGCTATATCATATTACATTGCGAAACATGGGAATATTCATGGAATATTTTATGAATATACAACACAAAATATTCCGTGATATTCAGTTGGGGATATTCCTGGAGCATTCATACCTGAATATTTCCTGAACAATCCAACTACAATATTCTGAGAATATTCAATTTTCAATATGTCTGCTGGAATATTCTTTATTCATTGTTTCGGAATATTACTGGAATATTCACATCGGAATCTATCCGGAATATATTCGGTGGATTTCCCCAAAAATCTTCAGATACTTTCCTTGTCTAGGCCTCATCATAATATTGACTTCAGACTTCTTCTGCATAGGTAAATCAGTGTACTGGAGAGATTTTTGGTTGTGACAGTCCTAGAAGTATTTGCCATTGTGTTACTTACATTGCTTCTTCCGCTTGATCAAGTTTTTCTCGAATATAGAAATTACCAAACCCATAAAACGGCTCTTATTCGATCAGTGGCATATTGATGCCCCTCTCCACGCCGAAGAGTCAGCTCTGGCTCACAGAGAGGTGATTCACTCTGTTGTTCCTGCAAGAACATTCAATTCATGCCGGGTATTTCCATACCATCTTCGAGCTCAATGTTCTGATGGCTGCTTGTTTATCGGTAGAAATGGCTATTTTCTCGTATCGGCATTTAATTTTGAACTTGAACTTTATACTGGCCTGGAAAAGTGGCCATTGGTTTCGGCGACTATCTGGTTCCAGGCCCAAAGAATGCTCCTCAGTTTTCTTGGATATCCTGGAGCTTGGACTTGTTGGTGCACAAAGCTGTGGTGTTCCTTCCAAAAGCGATTATATGCTCAATTTTATTTTGTTGCTTATTTTTTTTTCTCTAAACCGAATATTCCAGTTATCAGACCCATTAGTATTGGTAAACAAGCAAGCGGTCGCTTTTTTCCGTGTGTTTTGATGAAATTACTGAGTTTTCCAGCATACTTGGTCTTGTATCGTGATTTTCCTAGGAGACAATAGGAAAATAATCATCATGATCGAAAATGGGCAAAAAGCTACTGTGACAGCACATTCGGATTTTGTAAGAAATTGTCGAAAGAATATGGTTACTACTTCATCCACAAAATATTCAGCCACTTACTCACACCAACTCACTTGTTCCAAAGAAAAATGCCTTAATCTTTGGTAGAAGTCCATATTGCTCAAAGTGAAATTTTTCAAAGGATTCCTTCCTTCCTTTGTTGAAATACCCTGTTTATCAGTCCATAACCAGAAAGATAGATGCAAAATTTTGATCTTCGGGATCCCGTGAAGATCGCATCACCTCGTGAAAATCGAGAAAAATAAAGAAAAACGGAAGAAAGGAGAAAGATAATGGGCGAGTAGACTGATAATGAATCATTTGCATTCAATTACTCCACTGTGTCTTTAGGAACCTAAATTAACTTTTGCAACACTTCTCACGCTTT